TTAATAGATAGTAATGCTTGTAAGAGTTCAGAAACGGTTGCTGCTTAGCTCTGAAGAGTTGGGTGCCTGCCTTACAGACGGTAATCATCAACAGTAAGTATAAATCCAGCTTTTATATCTACAATAATTCTTTTTTAATTATTTAAAAGTACAGTACGCCCGGGTAATTCGCAGTCCTCTATTTATTCGCGGATGACACCCTGGAAGTACCCAAGAATGTTTGTGGGTAGTTTTAAAGTTGCCGTCATTTTTGCGGCTGGGACAGGGAGCCATTCGTTCAAGAGACAGCAATTTCCTTTACCTGTAGTGTATTGTAAAAATGTGTGTGTGTGTGTATACACACACACACACACACACACAAAACACATACAAATAAATAATAATGGGAAAATCCTCTCATGAACCACCAGAAACAAATTTATTAAAAATGTGAGTCTACTCCGTGCTTTATTAATAAAGCACAGAGTACAGTATGTGTGTGTCTACTCAGACACACACACATATACAGTATATAAAACAGGTAAAAAAAAAATAATTGTGCTACGGGCAAACACCTAAAGGGAATACAGTATACATTTCTTTGTATACAAGTAAAAATGTAATCCCCCCCCCCCAGGTCAGCAAATGTTATTTGCAGATTTGGCGATTCGCGGCCATTTTGAGAACCTAACCCCCGCAAATTTGAAGGGCCTAGTGTAATAATAATATGTTTAACCCTTAGGCCCCGGGTGTCGTTCCAGAACGTCCACCTATTTTCCCGCCAATTTTTTATTATTTCTGGAAAAGTTGATTTTTTTCACGATTTAACCCCATGGGGGAGGGGGGGTACTACCAGCAGCACCCTAACCCGGGGCTTAAGGGTTAAGTAAGCAATAACATATTTTTAATTCTGGAATTAGGCTAGGTACAACTTAGCCTACTGGAGACAGCAACTGGGGGATTCATTAGTCTAAGGGAGACAGGAACTTCACATATAGAACACAGGCTCATTTTTTTAGCCACTCCTCAGATAAAAAAGTGTATCTTATATGCCGTAAATTACAATGATTATTAAATACTATTTAGGTAATGGTGGAAGATAGTATCACAAGTTAACCAGCTACTTGAGGACATTTTCTAAAGAAGGTAAAGGATGTTAGTGGTAACTCATGAAGAACCAAACTAACAATGTGTGTAATATACAGGGTATACTGTACAGGTACTGCATTATTTTTAAGATTTGTCTGTCATGAACACTATTCTAAACCCACTTATTACGCTGCCATATGTACGATGTTTAATACTGTATATGGGACGTTTTATTTTATCCACAGAAACCCTTCCAAAACTTATATTATTATTAGCAGGCTGATAAAATGAAGCAACCTTACTTCCTACCCTATGTTAGGTTAGGTAAGTTAGGTCTGTTCAGTCTATCTCCGACATTAAATCATAAATGTAGCAGTATTAGGTAAGTAGTTCCTGTGGATGAAACATAATGCTCCACATGTAAACTGTAAACAAAAGATGTCTTTAAGATACAGGTATTAAGGAAATAGTTGCTCCTCCAGACCTTTTGGACTTTTTATGATAGAAAAATGTTCTGAAGTTGATGGGTAATGTGTGATAACTCTCTTTCAGCATAATCAAGTTAGGCAGAGGTGAGAGAGAAATATATAATTGTATGCATCAGGAATTTTTAGTTTTGCAACGTAAAACTTTTAGTGGAATACGTAATAATCATAGTTGTGCATCAGTTATCAAGACAAAACACTAAACTCTCATAACTGTGGCCACTACTCTTAACCTAACCTAACCGAACCTACACCTCTACACACATTAAATAAAAGGTACGCTAATTTATGAGAACACCGCAAACACTAGAAGTTGTTCTATTTTGTTGATTTTTCCACAGATGTTCTCTATCATTATAGTAAGTATTTTAAAGGGTATAAAAACTTTTCCTTTTAATAATAAGTATTTTATTTTGATTTTTTTCTATATCTACGATTATATATAAATCACCTGTGGTGGGCAGGGGATGAAGGAAGAGGGAAATTGCAGGGTAAAAACACAGCAAAAAGCTTATCATATGTCACTAAAATGATGTCTCTATGTGCTTTTTTTGTAATTTACCATAAATACTCTTTGGAAAAATCTACTGAATCATCACATGTTGTTGTCTGCTCCGTTTAATTTTTACAACCGAGCTCCTCAGTCCAAGCATATTCTCATGTCCACATCCACAAAAAATTTTAGAATACAGTTGAGTCTGGATTTACGCGGTTTTGGTTTACGCCTTTTGTCATTTACGCGGTGCCTTGCCAGAATTGAAATGCTTGATTTACGCGGCAAATTTGGTCATTTACACAGGAAGCGGCGCTGGCAGGGTGCGCACAAGGTCGCCCAGTCAAGTAATCAAAACATTACCGAGTTCTTCACCCGCCACCCACCACAGTCGGCCCAAGTCAGTGATAGTGAGGATATGGACTTATATGGACTTTGAGAAAGCAGCCCTGCAAGCCTCTGTGGTGATACAGGTGAGGGCCAATAATCTGCCCTCTGCCTCGGAACCAACCCCTCATCCCCGTGTGCCCAGCCATCTTTTCGACTAAAGTAAGTGTTAAAAACCTAATATTATTGATATTTCTCTTAATTATTAATTGTATGTGCATACCATCATAAAATTAAGATGTTATTTTGACTGCAAGGTACGTATTGTGTCTGAAAAAGTGGAGTTTGGAGGTCGGCCCAGTCTCTATTTCAATTAATCCCATATGTTCTGTTATTTCATTTACGGGTTTCTCGTTTTACGCGGTACTCCGAGGGTTCAATGGACCGCGTAAATGAAGACCCCAACTGTATACCACAACACTTCAACAAAGTTGATTTCATTGGTACCAGATATCAAAATAAATACTTTATGTTTAATATGGCTGGGAGTATGTCCCCCAGCTAGAAAGTTAAGTAAGGTTAGGAAGGTCTCTTTGGTTCTAGTAAATGTTGCCTAGTTTAAAATACAGTACAGTACTTACTATAATGATAAGAACATCAGTGGAAAAAAGGTAAAAGTGCATTTTCACAACCAATTGGTTTTTTACCAGAAATCTATATTTTTCCCAAGGTTTTTGGTGTGATTCATTCGAATATGACCTTCATTCCATGGGAAATGAGTCGTTTTTTAGTTATCACCCTCCCCCCTCCCCTCCAACAATCTTATGAATGAAACTGCAATAATACCGGAAAAAATTAAAGAAGTTGAACAACTCCTTCTGACGGTAGCAGAGTTCTCATACATTACCAAAGATAATGTATGAGATGTGCTTAAGATTAGCACCATGACTAAACCTATATTAATGTTTTTCTAACACTGAACCAACTGTAAACTTTTACAAAAAAAAATTTCTGAATAGCCATCTACCAAACTATCTGTTCTATCTATCTATCAGATCATCTAACTTCTTCCCCCAATTTCTTACTACTATCTGAACTTGAACTGACCAAAGCAGGTTCACCCAAACCTTTTCAAGTCTCCAACTACAATCTTTATACCTCTTTCCGTTCTAAGGGAGGTGTATGTGCCTACTGCAACACACGTACACCTATAGCTCAACTCACGGATCTTGAATCTTCTCTTTATGTCATCTGGCTCAAAATATCTCTACCAATTATGACTATTTTTCTTTCTTTCCCTCTTATGGTTTCTCTCCCCCACTTTGTTCTCTAATTTCTAGCTTCCTTGAAATCCGATCCATGGCAGTTGTTGTCAAGGGATCGATATCTCGCTCTTTCTCTACCAAAAGTGGTGTCCCACAGGGTTCTGTTCTTTCACCTACTCTCTCCTTCTTTTTATCAAAGATTTATTTCACACTACAGTACTACTAATTCTATCCATTCTTACGCTATTGATTCTACTCTTCATATTTTTCCCTTCCTCCTATTTCTCAAACTAGTTCTGTTTCTAGAGCTGATATCATTTCATCTATCATTGCAGATCTGTGCAGCATCTCCGAATGGAGAGGTAGAAACTTGGTTAATTCAATACGTTGTAATAAAACATAGTATTTACCAATTGCACTTTCCAGATTAGATGATCTCCCACCAATCACATTTCAGGAAGCAATCATTCTGCCAAACTCTAAAATAAATATGCTAGGTTTCACCATTTCCTATAATATGTCATGGAAGCCACACATCCACAACATTGCTAAAGCTGCCTCCCGATAGCTCGGAATGCTGTACAGATGCCGTAGCTACTTCATTCCTGAGCAGTTGCTTCAAGTTTATAAGGTACTTTACGGGCAATGTTCAGTGTATTTGGCATCCTGTGTACCACCGGCAAGGCCGTGGGCTCGTAACACTCGTCTTGCCCGCCGTGCCCACCGTTTCTGTGTGGATGTCGATCACACTAGAATAACCCGTTATAGTACATCCTTCTTTCCTCACACAGCCAAACTGTGGAATGCTCTGCCTTCTTCTGTGTTTCCATACTCATACAATGTCTCACTTCAAAAAGCTGATTTTCCAGCATCTTCGTGGTGTAGATTAAGGTAATCTTTTTCTCTTCTATTTTGAATTTCTTTTTCCTCTTATTTTTTCGCCCCCTAGGCCCCGTTGTGGGTCGATGACCTGTGCCCAGGTGGGCTAGTCCCCATAAATTAAAATCTAGCTATCTACCTGTCTATATATCAATCTACCTATTAAACCATTTATCTATCAATCAAACCATCCAGCTATATGTCTATCTAACAAACCACCCAGCTATCTATCAAATCATCTATCTATTTATATATCAAGCCGTCCATTTATCTGCCTATCAAACCATCTATCTGTTTATATGTCAATTTGTCTATCAAACCATCTATCTATCTATCAGTTCATCTAACTAGATAACGTGTGAACAGCTCTGGAGTGACAGGCAAGAGGCAGCTGGAACAAACACACACACACTACACTCTATATCTCCCTTAATATACCTTTCAATACCTAACTAACGACACGTAAAACCGTACACTACCAACCTGACGTATGTTCATTCGTCTTAAATCGTCTAGGAAATCTAATTGCAACATTTTGGAGGTGTTGAGGAGGTGAAGCTGTAGGTCGCCGGGGTGGTGGTGTGTTTACTGCTGTGCTGCCTGGCACTGTGGCCCTGCTGTGTTGGCGCTTCTCTCCCCATATCTCTCTGTTTATCATTTAATTTATACATTAAAAAAATAAAATGATTGTAAAAATATCAGAAAATTTGATATATATTTCCAAAATAGATGAAAATGCATCTAATAAGGAGATAAAGAGCTAAATATAATATGTTATATATGATATTTTCATTTATTTTTTTGGATTTTTCAATAAAATTATGTATTACAAATATAAATATCAAATTATAACACTTAAAAATTGCATATACATACTATCAAACAGATAAAAATATGCATAATAAGCCGATAAAATCTAAATGCACATCTACTTATTTATATATTGCAATTTAAGAAATTCAAAATAATTAATGAATTACTTTTTACATATTATAATTATTATTTTTTAATTAAAAATGATAAGTTGTGTAAAAGTTTGAAAAGAAGTATTAGGCTCGTAGTTAGGCAAACAAAGTGACGTGTGACTCGAGGGTTGGAGGAGGTGATGACACATCTTAGGACACGTACTGTATATTACTACCCAATACACGCCACTGTCAACAACTGATGTGTTAATCTTCCCAGGTGTGAGTGGTAAGTTTGTCAAGTAACTGATAATAATGGTAAAGGGTGACCACCAGAAGGAATTGGTTGAAAATTGATCTGCACACTAATATGACATTAAACGCAAAAATGGAAACGACAATGCCTAGAACCTGACCTAACGTACCCAACCTAGGTCAGGTTCTATTAGGTTTGATGCATTATCGTGTTAACTAATGTGAAACAACTTACCTTATTATTGAGGTTGATATACATCAGCAATGGCGAGGAGGTGGCTTACCATAATTTTTTATGGTATTATTTTATTTACACACCGTTCATTCCTACCATTAATCTATTATCATATTTCAATAAGACGTCTAATTATAAGATAATTTTCATCTATTACATTACCGGCGAAAATCTATAATAATGGAGATAGCTTTTCCAAAATATTTTCTATTTTCTTCCATTAACATCCCGCCATTATCGTTTGCCTCCCATCCAACACTGCGTGTCTCCTGCGTCTCCTTCATAAATCATCCTGCGCATGCGTTGCTGTACACATCATGCAGCCAATCAAAAGCCTTTTTGATTTTGAAACCAATTAAAATGTTTTTGGGTTTAATTCGCTGTATTTTTGGCCCAATCAAATTCGAGTATTCTTTTTGGTTTCTCATACAGTCAACCTTCACTTTACGCGGTCCCACTTTACGCGTTTACGCGGTACCCTGCCGAAACCGGAATGCTCACTCTCCGCGGTGTGTGTACCCTTTTACTCGGAGAGCGGCGCGAGCAGGGTGCGCACAAGGTTGCCCAGTAATCAAAACATTACCGAGTTCTTCACCCGCCACCCACCACAGCCGGCCCAAGTCAGTGATAATGATAGTGAGGATATAGACTTATATGGACTTTGAAGGGTTTGACAAAGAGGCCCTGCAAGCCTCTGTGGTGGATAGTGATACAAGTGATACAGGTGAGGGCCAATAATCTGCCCTCTGCCTCGGAACCAACCCCCCATCCCCGTGTGTCCAGCCATCTTTTCTACTAATGTAAGTGTTAAAAAACCTAATATTATTGATATTTCTCTTAATTATTAATTGTGTGTGCATACCATCATAAAATTAAGAAGTTATTTTTACTACAACATAGGTATTGTGTCTGAAAAAGTGGGGTTTGGAGGGTCGGCCCGGTCTCTATTTCAATTAATCCCATATGTTATGTTGTTCACTTTATGTGTTTCTCACTTTATGCGGGCCGCCGTGGGTTAAATTAACCACGTAAAGTGAGGGTTCACTATTTTGAAATTCAAGTTCATTTCCGACCATGGAAGTCTGCGATGGGTGTCACTTAAAGTATATGGAGCTGATTGCGAGTTTTTGGAAAATAACGAAGAAACTATAGCATTTTTTCGATCGCATGGTGTTCTTCCAACCTCAGTAAAGTGTACTAAGAGCAAGACTGAATGTAAATATCGCAAAGACCAACATATGTGGCGTTGTGTAAGAATCCCAGAATGCAACGACGAACAAGAACCTGGCTCTTCCCTCTGAGAAATTTTGGGGGGAAAACCAGGTATAGTAATAAATAATACCTCAAACTAAAGTTAGGATAATATAATTGACATTGCTGGATTCCTTGTAAGACCAGGAATATTTTGAATATAAATGTCATATATTTTTCACAAAAGATAACATATTTACTCAGATTAAACATTTTATCTAAAATTTGTATGTCTAATGCAAAATATATGATGTTTATATTCAAAATGATCACCAAATTGTAAGAATTCCAGCAATGTAAATTATATTCTGGCCGGGTAATTTGTATGAATTTTATGAGCTAAAACAAATATCTTCAGTTAATAAAAAAAAAAATATTCTTCAGACACTATCTGTCAATCAAAGTACCCCACCTTGCCTCCCCCCCCTCCTCCAACCGCGCGGTCAGTCCCAACCCTCCCCCCCACCCCCCACCAATCCTCCCTTCAAGAGATGTTGGGTGAGAAAAATGAATTTTAACATTTTGTATTAAATAATACCTCAGATTAAAGTTAGGATAATATAATTGACATTGCTGGATTCCTTGTAAGACCAGGAATATTTTGAATATAAACGTCATATATTTTGCACAAAAGATAACATACTTACTCAGAGTAAACATTATATCTAAAAATTTTATGTCCAATGCAAAATATATGATGTTTATATTCAAAATGATCATCAAATTGTAAGAATTCCAGCAATGTAAATTATATTCTGGCCGGGTAATTTGTATGAATTTTATGAGCTAAAATGAAAATCTTCAGTTAATAAAAAAAATATATTCTTCACACGGTAACAGATGGTCGGTCGCCGGTCCCTCCCTCCCTCCCACCCACCCCCCACCAACGTTCCTACTTGATAAATGTGTGGGAATACCAGACTGTTTACCTTTTTAGTAATAAATAATAAATCAGACTAAAGTTAGGATAATATAATTGACATTGCTGGATTCCTTGTAAGACCAGGAATATTTTGAATATAAATATCATTTATTTTGCACAAAAGATAACATATTTACTCAAGAGTAAACATTATATCTAAAATTTGTATGTCTAATGCAAAATCTATGATGTTTATATTCAAAATGATCATCAAATTGTAAGAATTCCAGCAATGTAAATTATATTCTGGCCGGATAATTTGTATGAATTTTATGAGCTAAATAAAAAAAATTATACTTCACCGTGTAAAGGGGTACACCCACCGCGGAATGTGAGCATCCTGGGTTCTGGCAGGGCACCGCGTAAACGTGGAAACGCGGAATGTGGGACCGCGTAAAGTGAGGGTTGACTGTATATATATATATATATATGTATGTATATATTGAGGTGCTCCGTTGTTTCCATTTTCCCGTGTGATTTTATCAAGATTTATCTTATCCACGTTTTCATTGTGGATTTACATGAAATATATATACAGTTAACCCTCACTTTACGCGGTTAATGTAACCCGCAGGGTCCCTCGTAAAGTGAGAAATGCGTAAAGTGAATAACATAACATATGGGATTAATTGAAATGGAGTCCGGGCCGACCCCCAAACTCCACTTTTTGACGACACACAACTATGTTGTAGTAAAAATTTTATCTTAACTTTATGATGGTATGAAAAAACAAGTAATATAGAAGAGGTTAGGTTAGGAAAAATAAAGGTTAACATCGGAAAAATAAAGGTTAGGTTAGAAAAACTAAAAGTTAGGTGGAACACTTACGGTAGTAGAAAAGATGGGTCGGCATACGGGGATGGAGGCTGGTTCCAAGGCAGAGGGCAGATTACTGGCCCTCAGGTGAATCACCATCACTGTCACTTACAGTTGTCAGGGCTTCCCTGACAAATCCCTCAAAGTCATCTTCACTGTCACTATCACTGGCTTGGGCTGGCTGTGGTGGGTTGCGGGCGAAGAACTCGGTTATGCTTTTTTGACGGCTGGTGTTTATGTTGTCGTGATACACCGTGATGTACGGCTCCATAGCCTGCACCAGCTGGGTATGGAAGACTTCATAGCGGTCATCGTCATTGTCGCGGGAAAGGAAGGACTTCATTTTCTCTGCACACTCCATGGCACCCTTAATATCACTATGAGTTAAACTGTGTTCTTCGGAGAATGACGCACCTTCTTCCTCCTCTTCACTGACGTGATCTTCTTCCAACATCTCGTCGGCAGTCACTTCAGGATCTCTGATCACCTCCAGGATGTCGTCGTTGGTGGTCTCGGAGAAGCCTGGAACTGTAACAGTCTGCGCAGCTTCTCTGGCAAGGTCCACTGCTACTGCAACATTCTGAACCTCACCAGTCACAGATTGACTCCTCCTCTCACCTGGTATTCCATGCAACACATGTCTCCATGCGTGATGAATTGTAGCAATAGACAGCTGATCACATGACTCCACCAAGAAGTCCACAGCTTTCTTGATGTTAAATACTCTCCAGAATTGTTTGAACAGTATTTTTTGCTGTGCCAACTGTTGATCCTCATCTTCTTCGCTCTTGCTATCGGTGGTGGTGTCACTCAGGTTACGCAACTCTTCCCTGGTGTTGGTGTAGTCGTTCAGGAGCTTGAATTTTTTTGTTGAGAATGCAGCTTTTACATTACAGATTAACTCTTGGTCCATGGGCTGTAATATAGACGTAGTGTTGGGAGGAAGGAAGACCACTTTTACGTTGGGGTGACGATTTAACAGTAGGGGCGAGTGTCCTGGTGCGTTGTCCAGCAGCAACAAAATATTGAATGGTACATTCTGTCGCTCACAGAATTTCTTTACATCGGGAACAAAAGTCATCAAACCAGGAGAGGGACAGTGTAGAGAACATCCACGCCTTATGTGCGGTCAGCCAGTGGACATTTAGCTTGGTCATGTCCATGGTTTTGTAGGCGTGCGGCTTGCGTGCTGAGTGGATCACCGATAACTTGAGCTTATAGGTACCGGAGGCATTGGTGGTAAACAGGACAGTGATGCGTTCCTTCTGCATCTTCCGGCCCCGAATCCTGCTGACATTCTTTACAACGAAGGACTTGGAAGGTAGCTTTTTCCAGAAAAGACCAGATTCGTCCATGTTAAACACCTGGTCGTCACTGTACTGTCCTTCCTCCATAATCTCATGTAAAAACGGAGGAAATTCCCTAGCCGCAGCACGGTCAGCACTCGCTTCTTCACCACCAATGTTTATATTGGTGATTTTGTTCCGGATCTTAAACCTCTGTAACCACCCAGAGGAAGCATTAAAGGGTTTGGGCTCTGTAGTTCCCATCTTTCGTGCCACTGTGATGTACAGTTCACGTGCGTAGTCCTTAACAGAGCGCGTGTCGACCGCCATGTTCCGTCGCGCTTGACGCACCAAGTACCTCACAAGTAATTTTTCTGTCTTGAGAAGCACCTGGTTGTGAAAATACTTGATCATAGAAGCACCTGTAGACTTTGTGATCTTCATGTGCTCCTTTATCTTGGCTGCATCCTTCTTTATTGTTCGAATCGTAGATTCATTCACACCATGCTGGCGCGCCAAATCAA